TTAAGATCCTGATTTCAATTCTTCTGGATGTATACTGGATCCTATGGGAGATCTATTTAATTTTTTTGAGGCACCTCCCTACTGGTTTCTATAGTGGATGCACCATTTTGCATTTCCACCCACAGTGCACAGGGTTGCCATTTCTCTATGTCCTCATCAACACTTGTCAGCTTTTGCTTTTTTGGTAATAGCCATCCTGACAGTGATATCTCATTGTTGTTTTGATTTGTTTTCCCCTGATAATATTGAAACGCCGTACTGTCATTATGATTCTAAGTTCTCTATCCTATATTACAAGGGGGATATTATTGCATATTATTTATCATAATAAAGCTGGAATTTATCCATACAAAGATAAAATTAATTTATTTGTACCATGAAAAATGATTTTCGGCCATGCAAAAAAGAAAAAAATCCCATGATTGGAGTTGGGTGTCAGAGAGGCAGCCTCTGGTGGCTGACGGACATGAGCAGCAGCTTACTAATTGTAATTAGTGCTTGTTGAGCTCCAACACAGCACCACCACCCTGCCCTCCTCCAATGGTGTCAGACTTACTCCAGCCTCAGGGCCTTTGCACTTGCTCTTCCCACTGCCAAGAACTCCCTTCCCAATCACTATTTCCTCAATTCCCTCCAGTCACTACTCAAATACCATTTCATCGGAGGGCTTTTCCCTCCCAACCTATTTAGCCTAACCTCTTCTCTCTCTCTCTATCCCTGCCCTGTTTTATTTTTCTTCCTGGAACTTAGCACCCCTGCCTAATTATGTGTTTATTTGATTGCTTGCCCACAGGAACTTGAGCTCCATGAGAGCACTGCTTTTGTAGTATCAGGACCTAGGACAGCGCCCGGCACACATTAGGTGCCCAATAACTAATTGTTGATGGGTGGTGGGCAGGGAGGGGGGCACATAACCAAATCACAGAGTGCCTGATGGGGTCAGGCATAGGAATCTGGACTTCAACCATGAGGCACTGGGGAGTAAGGAGGTCTTTGCTAATTAGTTTTCTTATTGTTTTCGTTTTTAAAAATGTATTTACATGCAAAAAACTCACCCTTTTGGTGTACAGGTCTATGAGTTTTGACAAATGAATACAATCATGTAACCAACACCACAATCAAAATATAGAACAGTTTCATCACCCCTAAGATTCCCTTGTTCCCCTATCTGCAGCCCCTGGCAACCATTTATCTGTTTTCTGTCCCTATAGTTTTGTCCTTTTGAGTATGTCATATAAATGGAATCATCCAATAGGTAGCCTTTTGAGTCTGGCTTCTTTCAGTTGGCATAACACATTTGAGGTTCATTCATTTTGTGTATATCAGTAGTTAATTCTGTTTTATAGCTGAGTAGTAGTCTATTGTATGGACAGACCCCAGTTTGTTTAACCGTTTCCCAGGTGAAGAACATTTGTGTTGTCTCCAGTTTTTAGTAATTATGCATAAAGTCGCTATCACTCTTCATGTACAGATATTTTTAAAAATGAAGATATAATTCACATACCATAGAAGTCACCCTTTAGAGTGCACAGTTCAGTGAGATTTATCACCTTCACAGAGTTGTGCAACCATCACCGCTATCTAGTTCCAGAACGTTTTCATCACTCCAGAAGGAAACCCACCCCCTTTGAGCGGTCATTCCCCATCCCCCTGCCCCAGCCCCTTAGCAATGACTAAATCTGCTTTCTGCCTCTATGGATTTGCCTATTCTGAATGTTTCATATACATGGAATCACACACTATGTGGACTCTTGCGTCTGACCGCTTTCACTCATCCACGTTGTGGCGTGCGTCAGTGCTTCATTCCTTTTATATGACTGAATAATATTATGTTGTATGAATGGACCACAATTTCTTTATCCATTCATCCATTGATGAACATTTGAGTTGTTTCTACTTTGGGGCTATTGTGAATAATGCTGCTATGAACATTCACATACAAATCTTTATGTGGACATATATTTTCAATTCTCTCCACTTTGGAGTGAAAATTGCTGGGTCATATGATAACTATGTTTAACTTTTTTTTCTAAGATTTTATTTATTTGACACAGAGAGAAACACAGCAAGAGAGGGAACACAAGTAGGGGGAGTGGGAGACGGAGAAGCAGGCTTCCCGCGGAGCAGGGAGCCCGATGCAGGGCTCAATCCCAGGACCCTGGGATCACGACCTGGGCCGAAGGCAGCCGCTTAACTGACTGAGCCACCCAGGCGCTCTATGTTTGACTTTTTAAAGACCTGCCAAACTGTTTTCCAAAGCAGCTGCCCCATTTTACATTCCCACCAGCAGTGTATGAGGGTTCCAGTATCTCCACATCCTGGCCAACAACTTGCTATTGTCCGTCTTTTTTGTTATAGGCATCCTGGTGGGTGTGAATTGGTATCTCATGGTGGTTTTAGTTTGCATTTCCTTAATGATTAATGATGTTACACATCTTCTCATATGCTTATTTGCCATTTGTATATCTTCTTTGGAGAGATGACTCCTCAAATCCTTTACCTGTTCTGTTTTGTTTTAATAGACTTTATTTTTAGAGCAGTTTTAGGTTCACAACAAAATGGAGCAGAAGGTATAGAGATTTCCCATGTGCTCCCTGCCCACACGCACCCACAGCTTCTCCCACTATTAAGATTGGTGCCTTTGTTACAAGTGTTGAACTTACTACATTGACACATCATATTATCCAAAGTTGACATTAGAGTTCACTCTTGGTGTTGTACCTTCTATGGTTTTGGACAAATATATAATGACATGTACCCATCATTACAGTATCATACAGAATAGATTCACTGCCATAGGGGTGCCTGGATGGCCCAGTTGGCTAAGCATCTGACTCTTGATCTCACTTCAGGCATTGATCTCAGGGTTGTGAGTTCAAGCCTTGCATTGGGCTCCATGCTGGGTGTGGAGCCTACTTAAAAAAAAAAAAATCACTACCATAAAAATCCTCTGTGTTCCATCTATTCATCCCCTCTCCAAATCTTTGCCCATTTTTTTTTATTTGGGCGATTTGTCTTTTTATTGTAGTCTCGTGGGAGTTCTAGATATATCCTGGAGATTAGTACGTTATCAGATATATGATTTGCAAGTGTTTTCTCCATGCTGTGGGCATGTACAGGTTTTCATGTGCCCATACATCTTTTCATCTCCCTTGGATAACTACTCATAGTGGGATAGCTGAGTCACATGGTAAGTGTATGTTTAACTATAGGAAAGTTCTTTTTTTTTTTTTTTTTTCAGATTTATTTGAGAGAGGGGTGCCTGGGTGGCTCAGGCGGTTAAGCATCTGCCTTTGGCTCAGGTCATGATCCCAGGGTACTGGGATAAAGCCCTGCATCAGGCTCCCTGGTCAGTGGGGAGTCTGCTTCTCCCTCTCTCTGCCCCCCACTCGTGCTCTCTCTCTCTCTCAAATAAATAAATAAGATCTTTTTTTTTTAATTTTTATTTATTTGACAGAGAGAGAGACAGCGAGAGAGGGAACACAAGCAGGGGGAGAGGAAGAGGGAGAAACAGGCTTCCCGCGGAGCAGGGAACCCGATGAGGGGCTCGATCCCAGGACCCTGGGATCATGACCTGAGCCGAAGGCAGATGCTTAATGACTGAGCCACCCAGGCGCCCCAATAAATAAGATCTTTTTTAAAAAAAGATTTGTTTGAGAAAGAGAGAGAACAAGAGCAGGAAGGGCAGAGGGAGAGAGAATCTCAAGCGGACTCTGCACTGAGCATGGAGCTGGACATAGGGCTCAATCTCACAACCCTGAGATCACGACCTGAGCTGAAACCAAGAGTCAGAGGCTTAACCAACTGTGCCACCCAGGCGCCCTTATGGGAAAGTTCCGATCCATTTTCCAGAGTGGCTGAACTATTTTGCATCACCATCAGCAATTAATAAGAGTTCCAGTTGCCTCACATTTTCTCCAACACTTGATATTGTCTTTTTTTTTTTTCTTTTAAATCATCCAAAGGGGGTCTTTAAAGCCTGATCATAGTCACATTCTACAAGGTGGCTTCACACACTGGGGCAGAAGAGAGTTGATGAGACTGGGAGGAACTGTGATTGTCCAGGCCAGAGAGAGTGGGGAAGAGGGAAGAGGAAGATCCAAGAGCAGTTCAGGGGGGTTGGGGTGTGGCACTGGAAAAGGCTTAGCAGGAGAAGAAAGTGGAGAGACAGGATAGACCCAGAGGAAGAAGAGCATGGAGCACCAGGTTAAGAACTTTTGACTCCCACGTGTTCTGCCCAAAAGAATTCTGGGTCTTAATAAGGTTGGCAGCTGCTACATTGAGGATGCATGGTGAACATTAGCATGCTAAAGGCTCTGACAAGTCCTGCAATAAAGATTTCTGTTTGGTATTATTTAACTGACTGTTTCTCTAACTTACACCTTGGATCACTTTTCTTAAGCTATAACATCATCATCATCATCATCATCATCATCTCCAATGTACATCTGGGAACCTCATTTAGCTTGTTCACCCAGTTATTATGCTCCCAGTGCCTAAAACTGGCTTAAACCCAATAGTTAAAATTTTTTTCTTTGGTTGCATTAATGATCTCATTAGATCTTCAGGACGACTCAATGAGCTAGGTACTAATATAACTTCCATCTTACAAACAAGGCTTAGAGAGGGTCAGCTGACTTGTCTAAGGCACATAGCTAGTGGGTGGAGAGCTAGTAATTGAGCTGGTATCTGCTTGCAGTCTCTCCATCACCCTGCCTGTCTCTGGAAGGGGCCCCATACCCCCCAGCCTCACCCAGTCGTGGCAGATGTGGTCTGCTGTTCTGTGACCTCCTACAGTCCTTCTTGTCCTGGTGGCCATGGACATACTCGGGCTGTTGCCCAGAGAGCTCAGCTGTAACTTGATCTCACCAGGCTGGGGGTGACAGGGCGGGTGGGCAGGTGACAGCCAGGGCAGGGACATTTGCCCAGATGCTGATGTGCCACAGCCTGGCAACCTGTGTGGTCCTGAGGAGACTGGGGGCTTCAGGAGCTTGTCCCAGACTCCTGGCAGTGGTCTTCACCATGGGCAACAAGCAGACAGTCTTCGCTCATGAGCAGCTGGAAGCATATCAGGTAGAGGTGATGTGCAGGTTCGTCAGCCTTGGTTTCCCTGCCTGAGAAGTGGGGACAGCACCATTTGTCCGGGGTGTGCAATCGGCAAGGGTTCCTGGTGCAGCTCTGTGTGTAACATCAGGCGGGGATGGGCATGCAGTGGGAGGGAGAAGGAGGAGGCCCCTGAGGCAGGCTCTGGGCCAAGCCAACATCTCTCTCCACAGGACTGCACCTTCTTCACAAGAAAGGAAATCATGAGGTCAGTCGGGGCAGAAAGGGAGGAAGACCTGGTAATAACTTTCTCTCCATTGTCGGAGGATGTTTGCGATTGGACAGGACTGAGTGCCGCGTGGTGGTTAAAACACAAAGGGAGGGATTGCGGGCACGGTCAGTGGATGGAGGCAGAGATGGGGAGGCTGAGAAGCCACATCTTGTCATATTGTCATGGTCTCTAAGTTGATTAGCTTGGCCTTTCTCCCAAGGGTTGTGTGGAGCCACGGAGAGTATGTGAGCAGGGAGAGGTGTTGGGGGGAGACAGATCAGCATGTTAAAAAGATCCCCCTGAGACCAGTGTGAAGAGGCTGGGACTGGAGGCTGGGCACCTGGGGGCAGAGGCTAGAGTCAGCTCTGGGTTGTGGGGGTAGCATCAAGGTAAGGGTGCAGGTAGGCAGGCTGCGGCCGTTGCAGGTCGCTGGCATGAGCAGAGAGGCATAGTTGGGTATCCCACGTTACTGCTCAGCCCATGGGGCCATTGTCCAGAGGCCCCGACCCATGAACTTGGAGCTGTGAAACCCAAGCTGGCCGGGGTTCAGATACAGAGTGATAGGGGCCAAGGCCCCAATTGTGTGGGCACGGGATATCCATTATTGATGGGCACACCTTTCACCAGTGAGCCCCATTGTCTGGGTGAGGACAGCTCGTAGGGTCACCCTGGCCATCACGATCAGATTACTGATGGGGAAACTGAGGCTTGGGCAGGGGAGGCTGACCTGAGCTCTGCAGATGGGCAGAGCTCCAAGGAGTTTGAGGGCTGACATTTCGTCGGTCCTGAGCTTCTTGTTTGTCAGCAGAATAACAAGCTCAGAGGGGAAGAGGGACATGCTCAAGGCCATACAGAAGCCCAAACCCAGGCTGTTCCCTGAGGGGGCCCAGACAGGGACCTGGGTGGTCAGGACTGAAATTCCGGATACCACTTCCTTGAGTTCCTAGCCATCATATGACCCAGGGGCTCCCATCTCCCTCAGAAACAGCCCCTAGCAGCTTGGGGACCTCTGACTCACCAAGGATGCCCTCTACAAGGCTGTGCTTCTCATGCCCCCAGTGAAGATAGGGTGTCAGCAGGTGAGGACATTGGAGTGGAGAGCTGGCCTCACCATCTAGGTAGTGTTGGTGGCATTTGGTGTTTTGCGAAATGCCCTGCATGCATTAAAAAACTCTGAATATTGGCCTTTTGTCTCTGCTCTGCCCCATTTAGGGAACGCTCGCCTTATGGGCTGAGAGAAGGAAAATGTGAGAATGGGGGGTCTTTACAGTCAGAGGCCAACAATGTGATGATATCCAGAGATTCAGAGATTCACTCGGATTCTCTGAATGTTTGATGTAAAATGATCTCACCTTAAGCACACTCCCTTTTGCCATCCCCACTAGCCTGGTCAACTCCTACTCACTCTTCAAAGCCCAGTATCAATGTCCCCACTTGAGTCTCCCTTAGCTCTGGGGCCCTCTCTCCACTTTGGCCCTGCCCCCAGAGGGTAGACGTGCCCGTGTTTGGCTCTGTGTGCTTGAGGACTGGGCCCAGAGCTGATGACTCGTGAGGACCCACGATCCTTCCATGTGTAGTGAGCAGCTGCAAGAATGAGAGAAAAGGGACAAGTCCTCCCCATCCCATCTGCCAGCTCTTCCCGGTATTTCCCTCCCCACCCCAGGCTCTTCTATCGCTACCAGGACCTGGCTCCCCAGCTTGTCCCCCTCGACTATACCAGCTGTCCTGATGTGAAGGTGCCCTACGAGCTCATCGGCAGCATGCCCGAGCTGAAGGTATGTGTGGGGCCTTGGGGCAGGCAGGGAAAAAAAATAGTAGGGATGTCCCCTGCTTCCTATGAAGTGAATGCATTTTACAGATGAAAGAAGTGAGGTTCAGAGAGGTTGACACTTGGTCATGGTCACACAGCTAGGCTGTGACCGAGACAGGAATGAAAGCCGGGGTTGTTGGAACGCTGGGATGAGATAATGCAGGTAAAGGGCTTGGCACAGGGTCTCCTGCATGGCAGGTACTCAGGGAATGTGAGTTCTGCTTTTCATAGCAGGAGCCGCTAAAAAGGCAGGTTCTTCTCAGTTGGATGTTCGTCACATAGTTTGTGTTGCCGAAGGGGACTTGTGGGGTGAGTGACTGAGCAGACATTATTTTATCACAAGGGACAGAAACCTCATTCGAGAGGGACAAAATGTATTGGAACATAGGAGGACAAACTCCAGGGGGCAGAGCAAGCGCCAGGTACGGCTGGAACCAGGGTTTCTGCGGATGAGCTCAGGAGTCTCCCTCCATCTCTCAGCTCCCCCTTGGCAGGAAGGGGCTTCGGGCTCAGGCAGCCTGTCCGACGGGGCTGCCCCAGCGGTGCCAGATTCCTGTCAGCTCTGCAACCAGGGTAAAGCAGGCCCCTCCGTTGCCATCTTTCAGGGCAGCCTCTGATTGGCCAGTTTGAGTCACCCTGCCTACCCCAGAGCCAATCACGGTTGCCAATCGATAGCGATCTCTGATTGGCCTCAACCAGGTCACGTGGCTGCACCTGGAGCCAGAAGTGGGATGACGGCCACCCAGACCACAGGGGCAGGGAGAGGAGTTGTCTGGAATCCTGTCCCAGGACGGTGGGCAGGAGGAAGTTTGAAGGTGGGGGGTGCGTACTTGAAGGTTTCAGGAAGGTGGGTGCGGAGAGCGGTTCCATATGGAGCCCTGAGTCCCCGGTCAGGGATGGCCTCTCTGCTTCCTGTCCCCAGGACAACCCTTTCCGCCAGAGGATTGCCCAGGTGTTCTCTGAGGACGGGGATGGGCACATGACCTTGGACAACTTCCTGGACATGTTTTCCGTGATGAGCGAAATGGCTCCCCGCGACCTCAAAGCTTACTATGCTTTTAAAATTTATGGTGCGTGCAGGGCTCGGGGGTGGGCGAGCGTGGGGTGGGGTGGGGAGTGAGAACAAGACCAGGCCTGGGGCCAGGGGCTGCCCTGCCGTCGCAGCTGTCTCCCCGGGGGCTTCGCCCCACCTTGGTACTTGCTGACCTCATCCCCTTACTTACCTTCCAGCCACACGGGCCTCCCTCTAACTCCAGCACACCAAACTCTTCCTCCCTCCGGGCCTTCTCCTCTGCTGTGCCCTCTGCCTGGAATACCTCTCCCTTGACTCCTGCTCACCTTGAAGTCTAGGTCAAAAGCAGCTTCCACCCTCAATCACTCTCCACCCCACATCCTAGTTCTCTCCCAGCAGGGAGCAGTGCTGCTTAATTTCTGTTCATAATCCGTTCATTTCTTATTGATTTCTCTCTGATGAGACCCAAGGGCAGCAACAGTATCTGTTTTCTTCCCCATCTGTCTCTCATGCCTGGCAAAAAGGAAGTGCTCAATAAATACTTGTTGACTGACTGAATGAATGAAAATTTATCACAGCGCCTGGCACACAGTAGGTGCTCACTAAAAACCTGTCGAATGAACGAAACTTTATCACAGTGCCTGGAACATAGTAGGCACTCCCTAAATCCTTGTTGAGTGAGTAGATGAAAAACAGTCACGTATGCCTGGCACCTAATAGGTACTCAGTAAATAGTTGTGGAGTGAATGAATGACCTCCCAGCAGGACTCTGCCCAATTCCAAAGCAAGACCCAGCCATTACCCCAGGGTCTTGGGATCTCTCCAGTGCCTCAGTTTCCTCCTCTGTAACATGGGGACAAGAGGCCCAGCCTGCCTGTCCCCTGCTGTGCCCCCACTCCACATCCCCTCCATCCCGCTGCACAGACTTTAACAATGACGGCTACATTTGTGCATGGGACCTGGAGCAGACAGTGACCAAGCTGACGCGGGGGGAGCTGAGCACTGAGGAGGTGAGCCTGGTGTGTGAGAAGGTGCTAGATGAGGCCGATGGCGACCATGATGGGCGGCTCTCCCTGGAAGACTTCCAGAACATGATCCTGCGGGCACCCGACTTCCTCAGGTGTGACACTCCTTGCCACTTTGCACAATCCATTTCCACGTCTGAGCGCAGCTCCTACAAAACTAGTTCGCAGGCTGCGTTTGTGAAAGTTCCCCTGTTCATTCATTTGTGATCTTAGAGAACTTCCCCAGCCTTCCTGGCCTCAGTCCCTGCATCTTTAAAATGGGGATAATTGGGGACCCCATGGGCACCCCCTGTGGGTGGACGCAGCTCTTTGGGTGAATGGAACATGGCTGGTCTTCAGTCCTCTCTTGCCTGAACATTTTGCAGTGAACAGGGTGTACAACTGTACTTGGCAGTCCTGGGGAGAATCAGAGCCCCCATAGTCGGGCTGATAGTGAGTTAATACAGGGGGTGGCCAGCCACCTGTTTTTGTACCTCCTGTGAGCTAAGAATGGTTTTTACATTTCTTAAATGGCGGGGAAAAGATGAAAGACCAATAATACTCCGTGACACATGAAATGGATGTGAAATTCAAATTTGTGTCCATCAGTGATTTTACTGGCACACAGCCATGCCTGCTTGTGTATGTATTAGCCACGGCTGCTTTCGAGCTATACGGCCCAGCTGAGTCCTTGCACAAAGTTGGGTATATCAGCTATTTGGCTCTTTACAGGAGAAGTTGGCTGACCCCTGAGTTAGTACATGGAAAGACCTTAGAGCAGCGCCTGGCACACAGTAGGTGCTCAGTATCTGTGTGCTGGGGTTGCTGTCGTGGCTGTTATTATGGGTGGCATCCTGACATGCACAGAGGGCCCCCCTCCTGTCCCTGGAGAGGCGTGGCTGGTCTCCTAGCAGACAGAGACATGAATAACGACAATTGAATGAACCCTACCGAGGACAGCATCTCTGGGCGACAGCACCCTGTGCATTAGCCCCCTTAGCCCTCACTACAGCCCCATGCAGGAAGGATGGCTATTATCCCCATTTTACAGAGGAGTAAACTGAAGCCCAGGAAGGGGTACCCACTCACTTAGAGTCCCACGGCAAGTCTGGGGTGGAGCCGGAGTGTCAACTCTGATCCAAAGAGGTGTGCTTTCCACCCCTGTGGGGACCGGGGGAGGGGGCACAGCCTGGGGTTCTTGAGGGGATCCATCTCCCCCTGTGGTTCCTTGTCTGTCTTGGGGACTCCCTGCAGGAGAGTTCAGGGAGCGGGGGGGATGAAGGAGGGCCACCCTCTCTGCCTGATGACTCCATTTCTTTTTGCACACAGTACTTTCCACATCCGCATCTGAGCGCACCACGGAGAAGAAGTCAGGTCAGAGGAGGACGGGGTGACCCCTCACTCCGCTGTGAAATCCGGTCTCCCTGGGTTCTGGGAATAAACACACGTCACTGAGTCACATCTGCTTGGAGGACATGTGTTTCACCTTAAACCTGCCGGATGGGAGAGAGGAAGCCTGGGATCTCACCTCTGCCCTCACTGTGTGACCCTGGGTGTGGCTGCACCCTCTGTGAGCCGTGATCTCCCCATTTATGCAAGGAAGTGGCTGACTTCTAGATCTCTGTCCACCGTGAGGGCTGGAAGTGCCTTGGTAGCTATGAGTTTTGGTGGACAGAGACCAGATGTGGAGATGAGGCCCATGTGATCTCACCCCCGGGCTTCCCAAGGCTGAACCCTACCCCCAACCTCTCAAGTCCCCTTTCCCCCCAATCCTTGAGCTGCTCAAAGGGACCAAGCTTGGACTCCGTGCTCATTCATTAGCACAGCCAGAGGAGGCCTCCGAGGGAGGGGGCAGCAGTGTCATTCACTGAGGCTGGCACCGTACTTTACAGTTTACGAAGCACCTCTCTGCCATTGCATTGGCTGCCTGTGGCATGCCAGCGGGGTGGGTGAGAAGCAATCACACTTCAGAGGGAACAGAGTGATTTGCCCAAGGCCCCACCCACACCTCATGTCATCTGCAAAGGCAGCCTTGAACTCAGGCCCACCTCTTTCCAGATCCCAGACATCTACCCACCTTGCAGATTTGAGAAGCCCCACACCCACTCCATCTGTGGTCGGCCTGGGGCCCATCTATAGGCCCCGTCAGTCCAGGGAGTGGTCATTCCTGCAATCGAAACTAGCTGCCAGGGCACCTTCCCAGACACCCCCACTGTGCATCATTTCTAGAGCACCCACTCCCACCCTAACCTCCACTTATTAAGCACCCACTGTGAGCCAAAGCCTCAGGTTTTATGTGCATCCAGTTGGTTCATCCTGAGAAAGATGAGCTGCTCTTCTTCCCACTTTCCAGGTGAGAAAACAAGCCCAGAGAGGTCTAGTGACTCGCTAGAGGTCACACGGCCATGTGATCTGGGATTTCCTCCAGAACCCACTGCTAACCATGACCCTGGGCTGCCTCTCTCCTCCTTTAAAGGGGCTCCCATGCTTCTGAAGTTGGTGTCGGGAGTGTGTACTATGTGCCAAGCCCTCTCCAAGTCTCACCTCCCTCATTTGTAGGAGAACCCCAGGAGGAAGGTGTGAACAGCTCTGTTTATAGGCAAGGATGTTACTTAGACTTGAGCCAGGTGCAGAGGATGTGGCCAAAGAGCTCCAACTGACCGGGTTTCAAATCCTGGCACTGACACCCTCTAGCTGGGTGAGCTTGCCCATGCCTCTCCTCCTCTCTGACCCTTAGTCTCTTCTTTAAAGTATGCAGTATGAGCCTATCTGCTGGGCCTGCTCAGAGGTGTAACAGAAATAGTGAACTTGGAGGCTTTGGCATGGGGCCTGGCACACAGTAGGTGCCCTAGACCCTTGCTGTAACTGATAATTATTATTCAAATAACCGGGTCACAGGATCGGCAATTGCAGGACCAGACCCAAGCAATGTCTTTATTACATTTCTCAGGTTCCTGAGGACTGGTGGGTAGACAATAAGGGGTCCAGTGTGAGCAGCCCCCAGAGCCAGGGCAAAGCTCTTTAACAGTACCCAGGGGCAAAGGGTGGCGGTGGGCGGTACTCCTCTGGGAGCCAATCCTTCTGGGGTTCTGCCAAGTCCTTTTTCTCTGGTTTAGACACTTTTGGGGACAGGGCCCTCACTACTGCTTGGTGCCAACCCTTGACCCTCGGGGTCGCCTCGCTCCAGCTGGCCAATCTTGAGACCTTCCTGGAGGGGTCAACTCTGTCTCTCAGATCCTGGGGCTGCGAGGGGCTTGCAAGGGACGTGGCCACAGAGCGGTCTGTGTCGACATTATCTTCCCAGCGGACGTCACCTGGCCTGGCCCCTGAGCTGTGTGTCGCTGCTGGTGGCCCAGCACTCCAGAGCGATGACAAGTTCGTAGAAGACAAGTGGGATGTCAGCTGCTGCTGGACCCTCTTGCCCGTCTGGGGGAACATCTTGAGGTTCCTCCAGAGTTTCCGGCAAGCCTTCTCAAGAGGAGCTTTTGGGGGGCAGGAGGAAGTGGCTTCCTCCGTGGAAGCTCTGTCCATCTCTGCTGATGGCTTCCTTCCCCTTGGGTGATCAAGTGTCGGCCTCGGTGAGGTCTGAAACCGAGAGCAGGTGAGCCTGGGGCCGTCCCACCCACCAAAGCTCTGAATCTGCCCTGGAGGTTGGGACATGGGTCCCACTCAGACATCTGGGGGGTGAGAAGGACCCCAGGTGAGCCCCCAAACCTGATCCCATGCCCCCTCCCCATCCCCATGAACAGCTTCACTATCTCCCCCAGGGATTGGTGAACTCTTTTCGTAAAGTGCCAGAGAGCAAATCTTTTCAGGTTTGTTGGTCATACAGTCTCTGCTGTAAAACAACAGAGATCGTACATCAACGAGTGAGTGTGCCTGAGTTCCAATAAAACTTTATGGACGTGGAAATCCGACTTTCATCTGATTTTCACGGGTCATGACATACTACTTTTTATTTTTTTCAACCACTCAAAAACATAAAAGCCATGCTTAGCTTGTGGGCCATACAGAAACAGGCCAGATGTGGTCCTCGGGCCCTGATTACTTGGTTGTTCAGGTGACATTTGGGGCAGATGCCGACAATGCCCCATCCATATCCCTTTGCCCTGAGCGCTCAGTACCCCCAGCTCCGCTCCCAAATGCCAGCAGTGGGGACTCTGCCCAGGGTCCTTCTCTGGCCCCACAGCAGGCCAGAAGTGCCAGAGATTTAAAATCTCCCAGAAACAGCACTTGACCAAGGCCTAATGGAAGATGGAGGATCAATACCCCAACTCCTCAACGCTGAGGTGGGATAACAGAAGTCCATGTCCCACGCCGAGTCCCAGCCTTCCTGAGGGATACCAAGCCCCGGATGCCCACAGGGGAACCTGCTCCCTAACACACCCTTCGTGGGCTGCCCTCTCCCATCCCACTTCCCCGCTCCCTTAGTGGCACATCCTGGGATCACCTCCCTCATAATGGAGGGCCCAGGGACTCAAACCGTGACGACACCTTGGTTCCCCTCACCGCCCCCTCCAAGCCATCAGCAGGCTCCCTTCTAAAATGTCTCAAATATCCTTTTCTTGCCCCACCCCCAGAGATCCTTTTCTGGTCCCTCCCACTTGGACTCCCTGCCTCTTTCCTGTCACCTGTACCACTGGTGCCAGGCAGCCCCTCCTGCAGCTGGCAACCATGGGCTCTCTCATGGTGACGCCCCCTGCACACCTGGAATAGAACGCCAGCTCCTCACCCTGCCCCAAGGCCCTGCATGATTGGCTCCTGCTGATCCTGGCCCCTCACCTCCCAATGACCTCCCTCTGACTCACCCCACTCCATCCACACACTGGCTTTTGTTGTTCTTTTGTTTTCCAAATACACTGAGCCTCAGGACCTTTGCATGTGCTCTTTTCTCTGCCTGAAACACCCTCCCTGCATCTCTGTGTGTGACTGACTCCACCTTATCCTATGTGTCCCAGGTCTATGCCACCTCCTCCAGGTCTTCCCTGTTCCCTTCACCACTTAGCCCCACACCCACTGATGTTCATCCTACCAGCCTGTTTCATTTCCACTATTGTCAGAACTTCCCTGCCATGTGAGGGGCATGGAGGACACTGAGCCTAGGGATTCCTGAAGGTCCAATCAGCCCTGAGAAGGTGGGATTCATTAATTTATTCACTCATCTACTCCACAGATTCATTCGTTGAGCACTTTCTCTGTGCCAGGTCTTCTCTGAGGGGAGGAGAGGCAGACAGATGAACAAGATAGGGGGAACAAGCCAGACAGATTCCCAGGCCTCCCAGAGCTCACAGTCTGATAGGAGAGGCAGACAGGAAACATGAAAACCCACAAATAAACTTTTAACCCACAAAAAGACTTTTTAAATTGTGAGGAGTGCTCTGCAGTGAATAAACAGGGTGAGGTGATAGAGAATGCAGAGGGGACGACTTTCAGTCTGGAGTCTGGGGAGGGAGACACTTGAAGAATTGAAGAAAGAAGCCAGGCATAGGAAATCCGGGGGCAGAGCATACACAGCATGTGCAAAGGCCCTGAGGTGGGTGGCAACAACATATGCAAAGGTCCTGAGGGAGGGACCAGCACATGCAAAGGTCCTGAGCCTAGCTTGATGTATCTGAACAACAGAAAGGATAGCAGAGGGGCTGGAGCTGGACTGGTGATGAGCATGAGGAGTAGCCGAGGTCACAGTTGGGATTTTAATTGCAGTGTCTTGAAAAAATCACTGGAAGGTTTTATACTTGGAGCTATAGGATCTAATTTTCACTCTAGAAAGTCTCCTCTGGCAGCTGCTGGCCACCTCCTCTCCTGCCCCTCCCCTGTGTTGGAGGTGCCAGCTTTCTGTCACATACCTCCTCAGGTGCAGCCCTGGAACAGGAGGAAGGATTCTGATGTTCCCTGGGGACATGGGCAGGGCTGGCAACTTCCTCCCTCAATGCATTGGAGTAAAGGAAGAGATCCTCATAATCCAAGTTCGCTGGATCCTTCTGTGGGGCAGAGGGAACCTGCAGCTCAACCCCAAGGAGGGAGATGGGGTGGTCCCAGGGTCCCAGACAAACCCTAGAAAGTGGGGCTCAGGAACTGCCTTGCCCACAAACCTTGTATGGAAGCATGCCCCTCCCACAGTAGCTTCTGAGGGCTAGGACCACCCCCCCACACCTCCTTCACCCGCTGCTCCGCCATGAGCCTTATAAGGAGATACACTACTCTTATACATCAGCCAAGGTTGTACCCCCCCAAATGAACCCTTGTAACAAATTAGCCTGGGGGGCTGGGGTGAGGCAGGGAACCAAGACCAGGAGGGGTGGGGCAGTGGGAGGGAGGGCAGGGATCATGAGAGTGACAGAATCACAAGAGGTTGAATGGGGAGCATGGGAACAAAAGGAGTCAGGGGGCTTAGCCCCTGCGAGGGTGACTATGGCCCACCGGGGTCCCACCCTCACCTGCCCACAGGGCTGAGTCAGCAG